AAGACTTCATCTCAGATTTCTATTTGACAGAAAAATAGCAAAAGACTTATCGATCAGATTTGAATCCTGTGAATGGGCCTATGTTCTGGAATAATATGGGAGGAGGACGCATTGATGCACCACCGTATAAAAGTCCTCCAGGACGACCTAAGCGTAAAGCACGAATCAAAGGTCTTCAAGAATCACCACCGAAGAAGAAGGTTAGCCGAGTAGGAAAGAAAGCACATTGTGGACTATGTAGTGAGAAAGGACATAATTCAAGAAAGTGTCCTGATGAGGTATTCTCTATCATTGCTATATTATGTTTATTATTTATTGTTACTTGGTTATGGTGTTTAACTATGTTTTTGGCAGTCTTCGGAGAGCAGGGCTAAGAGAAAGAGACTTAACAAGCAAGCTCGAGAGAAAATTCAAATGAAAGCTCAAATAGAAGTGAACATTTTTTTTTCAACTGCGCCGCAAGGAAGCCAATTGGCTAGATTGCTTTTTGGATAATAAAGAGACTACAAAGACTGTTTTTTATATTAGCAACCAAATTTTGGGATGTTTTGATAAACGGTTTCTTCTTTTTTTTTGGATTTTTTTTGGCAAGCCAATCGACTTATTTTTGTTTTTTCAAATTTTCTGGATGAATTTTTTTTGTTTTAATTCATGATTGCACTTACTTGTTTTTGTACTGGGTTTATATTAACTGAAATAACATAAACTAGTAGTTTCAAATATATTATAAGGCCACAATTACTTTAAAAAAAAACACAGAGTCGATTAGCTTAAATTTTGGGTTAGTTACTAACCAGACATGGTAATGTTGTTCTATCAATTCGGGTCTAACTGGACTTTATCGGTTCTGTCATACGGTACACCAAAACCGTGACAAAAGTGATGGTTATGGTGTTAGCCACATAACTTATGTTTGTTCGTTAATGTCATCATGCAAATTCAATATTTGGTGTAGATTTCGATACATTAATTTAGTTTGGATGTGTAACCATGCATTGGAGTATATTTCATGTAGATTAGAATGATTTTTCCTTAAACTACATATTCCTTTGAACCATTTTCTTTCATCATTTGACATTGTAGATGTTTCGCACGAATGATATTTATTTTGTTCTTGAACATATTCATATAAAGATTTTGGTTTTCGCTGTAGAGACGTTTAAAGTGAAGTTAAGTTTATAGGAAAAAGTGACAAAAAAGAGGAGAGGCCATGAGCATACGTCCAGAAGAGTCCATGTGACTTCACAAGCTTCTCTTTTCTTGTCTCTCAGGTACTTTCCCAAGAACACAGCTTACAATTTTCCAATGGGCTTGTTTTCTCATGTCATTCCAATTCGAATCATTTCCCTAATTATCATTGTTATATTTCTTCTTGAACTTTGTTTTCTATTTTTCATTCAGATCAAACTGATTAATTACATACATATATTTCACATTTTCATATGAAATTCTCAGCAGAATTATCTTAAATACTTATTTAATCACAGACAAAAAAAAACATTTAAATATAAATAATTTATAGAATCACTGTAAGAGATAAATATTGACATCAATTAGTTACCTAACATATAAAATTGTCAACTTCCTTAGATAAGACTGTCTGTTTTGCCATCTAAACTTCAAAACCCCCTATCTAATCATACGAGATTAACCCATTATCGTCTACGTAAGAGATAAATTGTCTTTTATCGTTTGGTTAGATTATCGCTGTTGCTACATTTTAGTTTATTTTTCCCTTTGATTATTGTTAATTTATGGTAGGAGTCCACTTATTTGTTAGATGTTATTGGCTTTTCTCGATTGTTGTATTTCCGGGATCTTTGGTTTAGTAATATTTTCTTGTCTACGTGATAATTTAACTGGCATAGGTTTCTTGATTTATGGCTAGAAATTAGTCAAAATATGCGTCAGCGTTTGGTTTCGGTGATACATTATATCTTATATTCACAATAAATATCATTTCATTTTGGAAAATTATTATAAAGTTTGATATGAATTGCATAATTTAAAAATGTAAATAAAATAGAGTTCAACAATCAACTTTTTGAAGAAATACAATAAAAAGAAAATTACTTCGTAATTCGTATAATAAACTGTTAAAGTGATACTTCCAACTCCATTTGTTTACAAAAATCAAATTTTTTAAAGTTTTTACACATATTTAAAAATATATTAATGCTTAACTATAAGTACATTACGTTTTGCAACTAATTAATTTTCCATAATTCTAAACTAATAGTAATTCTATAAAATCAATTAATATGTTTTGAAGTCATGAAATAGCATAAAAAAATATTAAAAAATCAATGTTTATGAAACAAACAAAAAATCTAAAAATGCAATTTTTTTAGAAACGGAAGGAGTGACAATTATTATAGAAATGATAATTGCATCATTTTTATAGAAATGCAATTTTTCGTTTCATTTATATAGAAATGATACGAATGTGACAATCATTATAGTTGATTTTTTATGATATATTCGGCAACTGATAAAAAAACAATTAATTTGACTGAATTATTAATACAAGTAACTAAGGTGTAAATAATTTTCTTTTTTAGATGAATAATTTGTTTCTCTATGGAATCGATAATTTATAGAATTTTTTTGTGTTTTTGGTTAAAGCCGAGAAAACAGTAATTTTACTATAGCGCGACACGTTGCAGATTTTTCATTGTCGTATGTATTCTGACGCACACTACTCTTCTATAGTTGTCATCTCAAATCTATTATATTTTAGATTATTTACTTTATAGAAATAAAATTTGTAACTGTGATTTCATTTTTCGGGCAAAGAAAACATGTGATTGTTTAATACGTGTTTAATTTATTAAATGAAATGATTCGTGATACTCTGGCCACAACTTCGTCGGATTGTGACAACTCTTTTCGTCTTAACTTAGTGAAGATTTTTTAGCAAAAAGAAAAAAAAATACTTAATGAAGATTTCATGGATTTTTTATTACTGTGTTGTCAGTAGACTCTCGATATTTCTTCTGTATTATTGGTTCATGGTCTTTTATATGTTTTTTTAAATTCGTAACGTGTGATCACCAGTCCTTGGGGAGTTGGGGTCACATACTATAGATTATTTTTATAATTCAAACAAGCTTAAACTTTATTAATAGTTTCACGGAAACTGTATATATAATTTACTGATATACGTATGTCAGCAAAAAAAATTCCGTTACCTCAATTTATATTTTATTAAATATGAAAATGGCAACACACTTTTAACGTTTCAATTTAAAGTTCTTTTTCTTGTTCTCAATAACTCTAAAATTTATATCAAATTTAAATTGTGCGCAAGGATTGAGACACTAATGTTCTGTTACATTATGAAAAATGAAAGTTCTAATTTGGGCAATGTCATGTATGCTGCAGAAAAGGTTGAAATGTCATGCTTTTGAGACAGACCGTTCAGATATGTATACTCATATATGCAGAAGAGTGACCAGTTTTTTCTATTCTTTCTACTAAGTTCGGGGAATTGCACGATCAACTTTCCCATTTTTTTTTATCTTTAAATTTTCATTCTCTTAATTTAAAAGCGGTTGTTTGGCATGTTCTGCACATTCTAGAGCTTTTGATTTTTCTTTTGTATGTAATTCCCCGTTTAACTCAATCACCAATTATAGTGGTATATTTTAACTAAATGTTTGGTTGACAAAAAAAATCCATAAAACCGTGTCCAATACTTTAGTCTTTCTTGAATTAGAATATAGCTTGCGCGATGCGCGAGTTTTTCTTTCAGAGTTTTGTTAAATTTAATGACGAAAATAATTTTAATTAATCTAGTATTTTTATATTTACAATTAACAAAACAAAAAATATTTTATAGATATAAAATAATATTTCATTTGAACTGAAATATAATTAATTGTTTCTCTTATTTGTATTGTATGAAAATATGAAGTGATGCTCAATCATTTCAATATCGATAGTTTCTATTTGAAAATAAATATGTTTGTATGAGACTTTTTATCTCTCTCTCTATATATATATATATAGTTTGTGTAGTTTGTAGTTAACCAATCACGTTTTATTAATCAGAATTTTATTCTATGCTTCCTGAGATTGTTCAATATTTTTGAATAAAATAAACTATTTTCTGTCTCTTTAGACTTTCAGTATCATAACAATTACATTACTTTAATAATTAACA